TCCCAAACATAATTTAGCGGAAATTCAGTTTTTGGTGTTTTTTTAAGACCGCGTAAAGTCAATGCGGAAGCAGCCGAAATAAGGAAAGAATAAAGAAATGAAAAGCCGGAAAAGGAAACTGAAAAGTGGGAAAAGGAAAAAGGAGCAACGAGTGTGTGTGCTGGCGACGAAAAACAATTTCATCTTGTTAAGCTTGCAGTGGGGAGTATGTGTGTGTCAAGGAATTTAAATTGAGCGCATTCAGCTGGAGATGCAGCCTCCCACCACCCCCTCGTGGGAAACGTGAAAATTCCCACACATTCTGGTTTCCTTCAGCTTTTCCTCCTCCCCCCCTTTGCCAGGCTTGGCGGCAATAATAATCTCCGGTGATCGTTTTGTTCCCGGGGCCAATCATTTGTCATCTTTCGCCTCACTTGATTAATGCTTTGCCCAAAAACCAGGACCAGGACCAGGATACGGCAAATGTATCCTTGTATCTACCTCTCTACTATTCCTGTACATTTTGCTGTATTCTCTTTTGTGTAATTGCTTTCGAGCAGCGAAACTATTTCCGTTCCGGTGACAACTCTCTATTTCGCCCGCCATTTCTCTAATTGCTTCCGCTTGCGTTGGTCAAATGCAAATTGCATTCGCAGGACTCGCAGGGAGTCTGCTCTTTCCCTTCCTCCTCTTTCCACCCAGTTAATCGCTTAACTTTGGCGTCAACATTGCTACACTCCAAATTATATAAGCCCTGACAAATGTCGCCTCTCCTAGCCAGCACTCCACTGGTAACATTCTCTCCTCTCCTCCTCCTCTCTCCTGTACTGTACTGTACTGCGTTTGTCCTTCGCCTCCTGGCTCCTGGCTCCTTCTGTGTCGACCCCAAAAAAGCAGGCTACACATTTTGACAGACTGACAGCTGGGGCCAGCGTGGGCGGAAAACAGGGCATGGCAGGGGCATGAGACTAAGACCAAGACTATAAGGCTAAGACGGGGTCCAGAAGCCAAACGAAAAGTAAGCGGTTGAGATGAGCAAGTGAAATTTAAAGAAAATTGGGTTATAAAAATGAATAAATTAAAAAATATAGTACAGGGAGTATTTTTAAAAAAAATCATAGTTATTTATAAATTTTCTTTATTTACATATTGCGACTAGGTTTAAGTTATTTATATTTTAAAACCAAAAACTGGTTTAGAAGTTTAAGGGGAGCTAGCTAATAGCTTCTAGCTTAAGTAGAGATAGTTCTTTTATTAGAATTAATATTGGAAATATTTTTAAGATTATTTTTAGTATGATTCTTATTATTGTATTTATTATATTTATCATATTTTTTATATTTTTTTAATAGTTTATTAGAATTATATTTTTATTATAATTGTTATGATTATTTTTATTATGATTATAATTATTCTCATTATTATTTTTATAATTATTCTCAGTTATTTTTTTTAAATAATAATTATTACTTTTTTTTTATATTATTATCATAATTTTTTTTTTAACAATTATTTTTTTGTTTATATTATTATTTTTATTATTATTTTTTTTTTTTCAATATATATATATTTTTTTAAATAATTCTCATTATTATTTTTATAATTATTCTCATCATTTTTTTTTTAATAATTATTCTCATTTGTATTATTCCTATTATTATGTTCCTGTCCACTTGTGACATCCCCCTTGGTCCGTGACTCACAGCTCTCAGCTCCAGTGGCTCACTTTGGCTTTGGCTCAAAGTGGCAACGTCCTGACCCTGCAATTAACGCAACAAGATTTGACCCTCTTCTCTGGCTCTCTTTCTCTCAGTTCGCTGATTGTATTTGGTGTAATTTTTAATTAGCTGCTTTGCTCCACACCCCATGACCCCCTCTCTTACAATAATTTCCTTCTATTTTTTTGTTCCCTCTTCCGCTTTGAAGCGGGCTAATTGCCTGGCTCTGTCCGCTTTTTATTGCCAGGACCAGAGGGACATCAGCCATCGACATGTGGCTAGGACATGGAGATGAAGAGGGAGAACAGCGAGATTTTTAATTTAATAAAACTCGCCACACTCCCGTAATTGACCAAAGGCGACTCTCAATGATGAAGAGGGCGTGGCCGTGTCAATATTTCATATGTGGCGGCATGTGCCCCGGAGCTATATACGATTTATCTCCATTTCCGGCGATTTTGCCAGGACTCTACCAACTTGCCCGCATGCCAATACATTCCATATTTGCATTTCGGGTTTTTCGGGGGCCTTCTGCTACGGGGGACTCGTGTCTGTCGTTGGTTTTATACCCGTTGAAATATCGCCCCTAACATTTGAGCTTGATTAAATTTGAATATCTGAATATGCATGGCCACAGGGCGAATTGGAAAATGGTGGGAAAAATGACAAACATTGCAGGAAAATTCGATCGCAAAAAAGTAAAGTAATATAAACAGGAAAATTGAGATTTAATAAAGTTAAAAAATAAAAACAAATGCAATTAATATGGATTTAAAAATAACCCTAAAGCTTTAATTGTTTGAATCACATTTTTCCCTGAATACAGTAAATAGTGTTGCCGGAAAATTGTTCAAGTGTTGCTTTTCCCCCCAAGCTAATTCCCTCAATTTTAGTTGGAAAAGTTCCTCCGCTGCGTTCTGGTAAATAACAAGTCGCTTAATCCGACTTAAACCAATTAAACAACTTTTTAATCCAATGGCATCCCCTCTGCCGGCTTAAGTTCAACTTTTTTAACAGAATTTATGAAATTGTGTTCATTATTTTGCATGAAGCCCGAATATAAAGAGTATTTTTTAACCAAAAATATGCATATTTGGGTTAGGTTTATATTTTAAGTGAAATATTTATTTTTAAATGTTTTTAAAATAAAAATGTATGCTTCTTAATTGTATAAATCGTACATATTTATTTTTTATAATTTTATTAACTTTTAGTTTTCTGATTTTAAATTTATACAACTAATGTGGTACAGCTGCTTTTATAACTTATTTATATAAATATTAAAAAATGTACTTAAAAAAAAATATATTATACCAGTAGGTCGTAATCCTTCTGTCTCACTCACACATTTAAAAAAAAAGGACACACATACACTACGAAATAGGCACAAGCAAACTTAAAAAAAAAAAACATTACTAATATTTTTTTTAATTCTTTTTCGTAAATTGTGACAAGCAAGTATTTCTAATAAACATTAAATCGGCTTCCACTTTTAAAAATTTTCTTGTTCAATTTGCGCAATATAAATAAACATTTCTTACGAGATGTTAAGTCTGTCCAAATGCTGTTGAATTGGTCCGTGTGGAGCTGTCGTCATTTCTTAAAGATTTAAATTATAATTTCTTAAAAATGTAGATCTCTTCACACAAATAGCACCGAGTCGTATAATTCAAATGTTTTCTCTCCAAAAAGCTGCCACAAAATGATGGCCAAAAAGCGGAGTCTAACTCCGTTTCTTCCATTTTCTTTGAATTCGCCAAAGTTGCAGCTAGTGCCCTCTCGCTCACTCCTGCACACACACACACTCGATTCTTCTTTTCGTTTTCTTTGATTCTCCTTTGGCCGCATGTTTGCATTTTTTCGAAAAATACTTCCCTCTCACTCGCTCTTGCAGTTATTCAAGCGTGTGGCAATACACACACACCTACAATGCATTTTTACACATACAATGGAGTCAAAATATAGTGCGAAAAATTGGAGAAACAATAAAATACGACAAAAATCACTTAAACCATTTTTTCTTGTGATGGAAACGCAAGTTCCTAAAAAAGTTATCCAAGAAAAGCGCACTGATCTCTTCTAGATCAGAGTTTTTGTCACCAATTTGACAGAAAATTAAGATTTGTACCACAGAAGCAAACGGAAAGGGGGCACAGAGGAGAAGGAGATTAAAGAGGCAAGTGTCTCCTCTCTTTGTTTTTTCGAATTCTTTTTAGTGGCTGTTTGTTTCATTTTTTCTGCTTTGCCTCTTGCTTCTCCGCGACATTGCCACTTATTTACGTTCCACAAATTGCAAAAAACAGAGAAATATAAAAAAAATAACATTTCCAATGGTGCTTTCCACGAAAAGCGCAGCGCAGAGATCTCCGATCGAATGTTTTCTCACCAAGGAACCCTAAAACGAAGCCTTTTCGCCACAAAATCAAGCCGAATGGGTAACAAAAGGGGGACGGATAAAAAATAAGATAAAGTAGTTTACTTGGTTTATTTGTTTTTCTTTTGTTTTTGAATTCTTTCGATTGCAGAATGCCGCAATTTGCCGCTATTTCGGCGCGTTCTTTCCATTCGCTCCCTCCTTCATTCCTTAGACGTGTGTGTGTGGCACACACAAACACTGGCAAAACAATCAAAAACACAGACACGCACTCGGGCAGCGTCACACCTACTCCACACGCACTACACTCGAAAAAAAAAGAATCTCTTTAGTCTAGCTTACGTGCAATTCGCTGCTTGCAGGTCGTAACACGCACACTGGGCGGGCAGAAGCGGATACGTGATAGCACGTGTTTTTTAGCTCCAACTTTTTCCGCGACGAACCGTACCGACCGACGTTCAACAGTAAAATCTGAATGAATGAAAATGAATCCTGCATCCTTAGCCAGTGATGTCATTTTCGTCTGACCAAAAAAAGCTGAAAAAAGCTAAGAAAAGGCTGATTTTTTAAAAATAATTTTAAATTTAAATTCAAAAATATTAAAAAAAATCACATATGTAAAAAAAAATATTATATAAATATATAATGAAATACTTTTAATTTAATTTTAAAAAATTAAGTTAAATTTTCTAAAAAAGCTGTTTTTTAAATTTTGCCCGCAATCTCACTTAAGAGTAAGCTTAATTTGACGGGAAAAAAGGAGGAATGCCACTACTGTCCACGCAAAGAGAATAACGGGACTTGAAAGCGTTCGGAGAGAGTGAAAGGTGGAGAAATTGGAAAACTCAGAGCTTTCAAAGAGAGCTGGGAAAAAAATCGATATCAGCATCGATTACATCGATTCTTTCTATCCAATCAGCTGATTTCGCTGCCGGCAAGCAAAACAACAACAAACGAGAAAAACTAAATTAAATTTAATTTAATGATCCGCAACGTGGTGGTGGGCATCTCGGGCGGCGTGGACAGCGCCGTGGCCGCCCACCTGTTGCGGGAGCGTGGTCTCAATGTCCTGGGCGTCTTTATGCGCAACTGGGACGAGCTGGACGAGGCGGGACGGTGCAGCGGCGAGGAGGACCTGAAGGATGCGGAATGGGCTTGTCGGCGCCTGGGCGTGGAGCTGCGCCAGGTGAACTACGTGCGCGAGTACTGGACGGCGGTGTTTAGCCAGTTCCTGGACGATTATCAGCAGGGTTTAACCCCAAATCCGGACATCCTATGCAATCGTCACATCAAATTCGATCTGTTCCACAAGCACGCCCTGGAGCATCTGGGCTACGATGCCGTGGCCACGGGTCACTATGCCCGCAACAGTCTGGGTAACTTCCTGGAGCGTGCTTCCAGCGGAGCACCTGGCACCATGGAAGCCGCTCGTTTGCTCATACCCGCCGATACCTTTAAGGATCAGACCTTTTTCCTGGCTGGGATACCACGCGAGGCCCTGCAGCGCACCATGTTCCCGCTGGGAGATTTGGCCAAGAGCCAGGTCAAGCAGCTGGCCACCAAAATTGGACTGCAGCGACTGGCCAGCAAAAAGGAGAGCACCGGCATCTGTTTTGTGGGCAAGCGCAACTTCAAGGAGTTCATACGGGAGGTGAGACAGAGCCCAATCCTCTCCAGATTTATCAATGGATTCATTACGCTATATAACATACAACCTGCAGTACATACACTCCCGAAGCGGACACTTTGTGGACATTGACAGTGGTGTGACAGTGGGCCAGCACAAGGGCATACACCAGTGGACCGTGGGTCAGCGTTGTAGGCTCAGCTCTTACCTGCAGCCTTATTTTGTGGCCAAAAAGGAGGCAGCCAGCAATACCATCTATGTGGCGGCGGGACATGATCATCCTGCTCTCCTAAGCACCAGGATACACATTGATCCGCCAAATTGGTTGTGTGAGGAGTCTCAGGAGAGGCTTCTGGGGAAAGGCTCCCTGCGCTGTCGCTTTCGTTTCCAGCACACAAAGCCCCTGGTGGCATGCAGCCTACGGTTCGCTGGCAACCACTTTGAGGTCCAACTGGATGCTCCCCTGAGAGCCATTACACCGGGACAATATGCTGTCTTTTATGATGAACTGGCCTGCCTGGGATCAGCGCGCATTATTAGAGCTGAGTCTTTGGAAATTGGAGAGCAGGACAATGAGGAAGTGGGAAACCTCAAGAGCTGATGATCAAGCATTTCCTTTTCCCTTAACAAAAAAAAAATCCTGACAATTGCCTGTTGAACACTTAAAAGATCTACGCATTTTATTCCTAGGTCAGATAGACACATAATTTCAGGTTGGGGGGAAAAAAAAGATGTAGGAGTACTCCTTAGGCTATTCTCGTGGTCCTGGTCGCAGCTTCGAGGGAAATCTCACTATAGATAAATACAATTGGCTTAAAACTTATGGTTAAACATACAGATTGGGTCTCTCTCTCGTCCTTATTGGCTAGTCTTAAGCACTAATCATGGTTGAGCGGGGTGGGGGGAAGGTGGAGCAGGTGGTGGACCTCCGGCTAGGTCAGCAGCACTGTGAGGGCGTCCAGGAAACGGGTTAGATCACTCTGACGCAGCTGCACCACCGCTGGCTCAAAGAAGTCCTGCAGCAGCAGGACCCCACTCTTCTGGGCCGCCTGCTCAAAGGCCTTGCCAAAGAAGTTACGCGGCGAATCCTCCCTAACCGGTGCAATACCCACCAGCAGGCACATGCCCTGGGCGGCGTCCAGCGGACATGTGGCTATCAGTGGCAGATCCGGCGCCTGCCTGGCCCTGCTTGTGGCCACGTGACCGCGCAACAGAAAGCGCGCCAACAAAGCCAAGGCATAGGGATATGAGAAGAAGGTATGCTCCTCCTGCAGGACATAGTAAAAGAAGGATCCGGCAGAGTGAACCAAACGTGCCTCCAGGCTGCTCTGCACCTGCCTAAAAACGGCGGCATGCAGCAGCTTGGCCTGCTCAATGCCAGCGGCCAAAAGCTGCTTGTGCTGTCGACTCAAGGCATCCGAGGCCTCCAGGAAGCAATCCTCCGGGGTCTTGTGCTTCTTCACCGACTCCATGATGGCCAGCAAAGCGTAGACATAGTCCGCAGCCGCAAACCGGCTTCGATAGCCATAGCTCAGCGTAAAAGTGCCATAAACAATGTCCGGAATATCATATTTCTCGGCCAGACGTTCCACCATCGAGTAGAATTCCTTGCGCAGCACCAAATCCATGGCTCCGTATGTCTGGCGGGCATGGACCAAGGGCAGGCCCATCTCCAAAAGCAGCTCGTGCAGCCTCTTCTCGCCGCGCAGGGTCCACAGTTTCAACTGACAGCTGGCATACCGTGAGTACCTTCAGGGATAAAACAAGAAAAGTCTCTTTTTAGAGCAAGTTCCTCCAACTAAACCCACCTTATGCTCACCTCATGGACTCCGTGACGGGCCAGTGGCGGTACAAAACCAAATGCAAATCATTCTCAAAGCTTATCTTGGAGGCACTCATCGTATTCTGATCGTTGGTCTTGTTGGTCAGGCGCGAGACATGCGACTGGATCTGCTCCAGCTCCAGGGTATAGGCGCTGCTCTCAATCTTGCCCAGGAGCAGCTGCTCGGTGATGCCCACAATGGCCCACCAGAGCAGGTCCATGTTATCCTTGGACAGCTTCCAGGCCAGCTCGAAGATTAGCAGGGCGGTGGAGCGGCCATAGTAGCTAAACTGTGTGTACTCGAACATGATTCTGTCCCGCTCCGATTCCCACTGACGGCGGGCACGCTGCTTCAAGATGCGTTGCTCATGCCGCTCCAGGCGGGTGAGCTTATGACGCGGCTTTTGCGGATGATCCTCTGCATCTGATTCCCCGGCGCCACTGTCATTGTTTCGTTCCTCTCGATCGGAGCCGCCACCTTCATCCTCATCCTCATTTTCGTCCTCGTCTTCCTCCTCATCCGAGTCATAGAATATGGTCTCAAAGCCGGGTATATTCTCCTCGAGCGCTGGATCGCCCAGGATGCACACCTGCCGGTCGCTGTAGATATTGCAAACGTCCAGCGGACGATGCGAGTCGCAAATGAAGAAGGTAACATCCTCGGCCGGCTGCAGTAGCTCCACAATATCCACGCAGCCGCCGCAGTTGACCAGCACCACGTACTTGACATCACCCTGATGCTCTCCATAGGCCCGTTTCAGGCCAGTGACGCCCATGATGGGCACCACCGTGTAGAGCATGTGGTCGTACTTGAACAGCGCCTGCAGGATGCGGCTGGCGCAGATGGCATCAATGTCGTAGTTGACCACGATGAGGATGCGCTTGCCCACCAGCTGGCGGTAGAAATCGTTGCGCAGGTCCTGGACAAACATGATGCAGCTGCTCTTAGAAGGTGAAAACAATAGGAAATCTCTTCCTCTCTCTCTCGGGGTTTTTGGGGATTCTGGTTAAAAGTGTGGTTTCCTTGGAAGCCAATCAAAGATCAAAGGATTCTAGCTGATCGGGCGGCGTTGCATTGTGTGGTTTTTTGCGTTTTTCCCGTGTTGCACTTTCGCCAATTGCAATTTGCGAATCAAAAACGCGGGAAACAGCTGGCTGCGGCAGTGTGACCAGCCACAGTTGGGCGGAAATAGTTGGGCAGCGCCCAAGGAAAAGTGTTTTGTTTTGGTATTTTTATTGTTTAAAGTATTTTCTTTTATATTCTTCTTTTTTTATTTATTAAATTTGTTAATTCTTTTTATTATTATAATTTTATATTTTTACATTACCTAAAATTTTAGGGATTTTTTATTTTTTTATGTTGTTTATTTATCCAAATGGTATTACATATTTTCCAGTGCTGTCATTGTTTTTTACTGTAATTTTCTTTTATATTTCATTTATTTTATTAATTTTTATAAAATTTAGGAAATTGAATATAATATTATATTTTCTCTGGATTTTATATATTTTTTTATATTATTTATTTATCCAATTGGAATTATACATTGCCAAGTGCTGGTATTTTTTGCTGTAATTTTCTTTTATATTTTATTTTATTAATTTTATCTAATATTTAGGAAATTGAATATAAAATTCTATTTTTTATATCACAAAATTCTCAGAATTTTTTTTGTATTATTATTTTATGTTGTTTATTTATCCAATTGGAAATAAACTATGGTACTTTTTGGCGCTCCACCTGCGGTCACACTGCAGCGCACACATGTGTTTTTGAAAACTAACAAAATACAAAATTAACCAATTTTTGCTTATTTTAAACGAAATTCTTGGCTTAACCATGACCAAGGACAAGAAACGCAAATTGCTGGCCCAGCGGCACGTCTCCTCGCGCATGAACTTCCTGTTCCAGGCCTCGCATTTGATGGCGGCAAGCCATCAGGCCAAGCTGGCCGCCTACTATGGCAAACTGTGCCGCAATGTGGGCACCAAGGCGGTAATGCACATGTAAGTGGACTCAGCCCACCACCAGTGGCTCCTTATTCCCATAATAAACGAATTCCCGATGACAGGGCTCCCGCTTTGAAGCGCTCCCTGTGCCGCCGCTGCTCGCTGCCCCTGATGCCGGGCGTAAATACAGAGCTGCGAGTGGCGGAAGAGAACCCGACGCCGCAGGCTGGAGAAGAGACTCGCACTGCCAGCAATGGAGAAGAGACTCCCACTGCCAGCAATGGAGGAGAGGTAGAAAAAACCAAAAAGAAGCGACACCGGAGACTCCCCAAGAACCGAAAGAAAAAGGTGGAAAAGAAGGAGGAACCGCCTGCAAATCCCAACGAATCTCAGCCAGAAATCCCACTCAACGCTCTGTTTTTGGAGTGCTCGCTGTGCCAAGGCCGGCGTAGCTTTACCCTGGACAATCAAAGAGAATGCTGGCTAGAGCAGCCGCAGTCCCTGGTGCAAGTACTCTCACTGCCAGGAGAGAACGCCGGCCAGTGATAAGCTGGAAAAAGCTTTGCTTATCTCCAAAACAGCTTGCTTTCAGTTGAACCCGAAATGCTGACTTGTAGACACCTCATTGGCCACCTCCGCCGGCAGGCCAGCACAGCGGTAGCTCGTGTCCTGGCTCCCGGCTATGTGGAAGTCCAAGAAGACAAAGGCCAGACCCCCCTCAAGTATCCACAAGTCTGGCTGAGGGACAACTGTCAGTGCCCGGAGTGCTTCCATGCTGCCACCCGGGCCAGGAAAAGTCATTGGGAGCGAGGACCCGTAAACATAAAAGTGGCCAAAGTGGATTATAACCAGGAACACCAAAAACTAGAGGTTATCTGGCAGGACCAGCACAAGAGCTCCTTTGACCTGGCCTGGCTGAGGGAAAGGGATTTTGGTGAGGTGGCCAGGAGGCGGTACCTGGACGAGGTGTACAAGCCACCGGCACAGCTCTGGGGGAAAACCCAGTTTGAGGCTGTGCGAAAGGAGTTCAACTACCAGGATGTCATCCAGGAGGATGCAAAGCTGCAAGCCTGGCTGGAGGCTCTGGCAGTTCAGGGATTTGCCATACTCAAGGGAGCGCCCGATGACATCAATGTGGCCAAAAATCTGGCCGAAAGGATTGGCTATATCAAGAGGACCACTTATGGGTAAGGAGAGCTGCTTGAGCACTTGGCAAGCCATTATCTGGCTGCAATCTACCGAATATTATCAGAATCGGATGATTATTACAGCCAGAATGGGCTCTGCTCTTGATTAGGAGCTTACAGATAGTACTTACGATAGCAGCAGGTGTAGGCCCCAGCCCCCCCCCCCAATACCTCGCCCGATTAACTTTCCCTCCCTCCGCAGAGATGTCTTCGAGGTAAAGTCCAAACCGAATGCCGGTAACTATGCCTACCTGATGACTCCCCTGCCGCTGCACACGGACATGCCCTACTACGAATACAAGGCCGGCATCAATATACTCCACACCCTCGTCCAGTCGGCCTCATCGGGCGGCGCCAATACCCTCACCGATGGCTTCAATGTGGCCTCTGAGATGCAACGCCTGCATCCGGCAGACTTTGAGATCCTGCGCTCGGTGCCCGTCAACTGGTTTGACATTGGCCACGATGGCGATGCATTGCGACCCTTTCACAGCATCTGGCGGTCGCCGGTGATATGCCTGGATGTGGAGGGTCGGTTTGCCAGGATCAATCAGAATACCACCAAGCGGGACAGTAGGTTTACGGTGCCATTGGAGCAGGCTGTGGCCTGGTATCGGGCCTACGACAAGTTCTTGGAGCTGGCCCACTCGGAGGCGGTGGAGTTCAAGACGCAGGCCGGGGATGTGTTTGTGTTTAACAATCTGCGCATGCTGCACGGGCGGACGGCCTATGAGGATGCGCCGGGCAACAAGCGGCACTTGGTGGGGGCCTATGTCGATTGGGATATCATCTACTCCAAGCTGCGAACTCTCAAGTATCCCAATGCCAAGGATTAGAGGATGTACAGTACAAGTGATGTGAAAATAACTATGGAATTTTAAATAATAATTTTTGTGAATATATTTCTGTGTGTTTTTTGGTTGGTTGTTCATTTTATATATTTTTTTTTTTGTAATTTGTAATTAAAATTGTTTATTAAAATGGACAGCCGCAATCCGTTGCCTATTAAAATTAAAGAAGCCGATATCATCACAATCGATCTTACTGGAGACGATGAACTGGAGACATGAACTGGAGGAATTGCAGAACTGGGCGTTCACTGAGTGCCGTCTCTGCTTCGATAGGGAGGTGGTGCCAGGTTCACTTTGTGCGGCCACATCTACTGCATGAGCTGCCTGACCAGAGCCCTGGAAATCTGTGGCAACTGCCAGGTGTGCTATTAAACGAGCAGCTTCATTCGACTCTACTACTAACTCACACTGTTTTATGTTTGCTGCGTTTTGGTTAAATTATGTTGCTGTTAATTTGTTCTATTTTAATTCAAATTTAATTCCGTTAAAACTTGACACATTTTTTTCTAAAAGGGTATTCATCCTGGCGTATTTAAATGACGATTTTGAGGTCTGAATGCGACGGTTGCCGAGAGAAAACTAAAAATGATTTGTTACCTTTTGACAGGCTACAAAATTTCAGTTGCCAGTGCCTACTCGGATTGGGGGTGTTTTCTTTAACAAAAAATATCTTTAAAATATTTAAAACAAATTCCAATTGGATATTTGTTTAAATCCAGCGCCAAGAAGAAAATCTGGTTACTCTGCAACTGAACAAATCTGGCAACTCTGCATTTTAAGTCATTTTAAGCCATCACAAATCTGGTCACTCTGCAGCCAAGGCATTTATTTCGCACGCAAAATAATACACAAAAACCAACAAATTACGGCCGTAAAATGCTATACTTTGGGCCTAAAAGAGGCTAACTTTTGCATTCGTTTAGTGTGAGTGATGGAAATTTAGCCAGCGAGTGAAAGAGAGAGGGAGCCCCGTGTCCTAGTCCAACAAGCCCGCCGAGCAGCAAGTGCGAGTGCAAGGCCTTCACAGCGAGAGAAAGAGAGAGAGAGAGGAGAGAAAGGGGAGGAGGAGTGATTTTGAGTGGGAGCCCCTCCGAATTCTGTATGAGATCCTGTTTATCCGCCCGAAATGATGCCCTACAATGTGCGCAACGCCGGCGGCGGCAGCGTTGGCGGCATTCTCCGAAAGACAGGAACAAACGTTGGATCCTCCGCCACCACCATTCATGCTGCATCCGCTGGCCATATCAATGGAAGCGCAGCATCGTCAGCGGCCAGTCTAGAGACCCGTCAACCGCCACTGGAGCTGCTCGTCTTTGGATACGCCTGCAAGATATTCCGCGACGATGAGAAGGCCCGCGAAATGGATCATGGCAAGCAGCTGATCCCCTGGATGGGCGATGTAAATCTCAAGATAGACAGGTTAATAATTGGGGCTGGCCCCCGAGCCATTAATTATACGATAATCCCGTACGCACACTTGCCACAGTCGAACATAAGCCCCCCCCCAAAAAAAAAAAAAAAAAAAAAAAACAGCTACACACCAACACTACTGCAACTGCAACTACAATTACACGTGCCCATGTTGTGTCCCGTTAGGACGACCCACTACTCCGCGTACAGCTGCGGGCGAAATGCTAGTGCCGGGATATTTGCAATTGGTTGGAAGTTGTGGAAAAATACATACAAATATACAATGGCAATGCAAGTCTAGAAAATTCTGAAATAATTTTGGAAACTAAAAATTTCAGAGATTCTCCTTCAAATTGCATACAAAGGCTGCTAGTATTTCGACCGCTGCTGTACTCATAGAGATAGGACTTGAACGAACTTGACTTTACACCCACATACATACATATTCACACATACAATACACCAACATACACACACACACACATACCATTGTAATAACAGCTCTTTTCAGTGCTTCTCAAACTGTAATCTCTATCCATATATACAATTTTGAAACTGTAATTCTTTGACCATTTTAAATGTAAACCGATTAACTTTTTAGCCACCGGAGCGGTATGTATGAACGATCTCTCTAGCCTTAAACCTAATCTAATCTGAACCGTATGCATTATATACTATATACTATTTTATATATATATCCATATATATATACATATATATATGACTTTGAATATTGTGTGTGTGATTGCGAGCGTGGGAGAAGGCGAAGCAAAAAAAAAAAAAAAAAATAAAATAAAAAAAAAATGGGGAGGGCAGGGAGACGTCAGGAGCGCTGCTCTCGTCGTTCCCATTGCCCCGCTCCGTTGGCTTACGCCCCCCGCAAGACGCGCCGCCCGACCCTGGAACTGCCAGTCCACTGATAATGCTCCTCTTCTCCTCTCTGTTTATATTTCTCTGCTTGCTCTCTATATATTTCGGCACATCCAACCTTCGAATCGGAAACCGTCTCTCTGAATCCAACGCAGATATGATGTGCGTGGAGCACTTTGTGAACTGGCGCCACATGAGGCGCCGCCAGGTGGCTATGGCAACAGGCTGGAATATCTCAGCGCCGAGGAGCAGCGCGCGGAGCAGCTGTGCGAGGAGGAGCGTTACCTGTTCCTCTACAACAACGAGGAGGAGCTGCGACTGCGTCAAGGTGAGTGTGCCAGCTAGGGGGTTGTCAGCCGGTTGCGTCTGCCGTTAAGGGGTGTCGATAGTTGCGATGGGTGAACATTAATAATACATTAATGATCACTATCTTTCAAAGATTTAGAGAAGTTAGAAAGTCAGTTTATTTATTATTAAATTTCACTATTTTATACGTTCCTGTAATACAAAATTTGTGGCTAAATGTTTTGAAAATATTTTTAAACATAAAGTTCTGTAGAATTTTTTTCTAAAATTTCTGAATGTATTGTTAAACTACTGTAAAATAGAGAATTGACCAGATTAATTAACCAATAAAAGTCACCATAAATGCCTTTTTTAAATTTTTAGTGATACAATTTCTTCTAAAAATTCTAAAAAAAATAATTAAATTTCTAATCTAACAATTTAAATCGTATAAAAAAAGTAAAACCTTTATAGAATCGATTTCATTGTCAGCTTTAATGTTCAGATCTTCAATAATTTGCAATACAATCGACCAATAATTGTTATCGAAATAATCGAAAATTATAAAAATCAACAATGTTTATTGATAAAATAGATTTGAATGCAAATAATTGAGTTATTTCATATTAAAGTCATCCATTTTATTGCTTAGTAATCAATCTATGCATTGTATAGCCCATTAACCCACTGATATCGACACCCCTTGGACCCGGGGACTCCCTCAAATTAAGAAAAATTGTATTATTAGTACTGAAAGGTATCAAGAAACGATCAAGACCAAATATTATTGAGTAAAATGAAAAGAAACACACCACTAAAAACCAAAAAAACCAACCACCGATTACCGATAACCGATTAAAACCACCACAATGAAACCATCGATAATGCAATCGTCAGTCATCCCCTCGATATTTCCAGAGAGAGTGCCTTAGGAGCAGGTAAATACGCAACCTTCACATCCTGACAGATTTAAACATTTATTCCAGATTAACGTCAAGTCCAACTACGAAGGGAAATCGATCTTATCGACCAGCTACTGATATCGATAACAATTCCAGCTACCTCCCTCCCCCCTCTCTCTCTCTCTCTCTCTCTCTTTCGCTCTGTGTGTGCGTCCCCCTCTCTCTTGTTCCGCATCAACCAAACGAATACGTTTCTCTCTCGCTCTGATTCGAATTAGTTAACAATTATTTTACTCAAATATTCTAAAGTCTTCCGTTTTCTCTTCATTTCTCTGCTCTTCTTTTGGGGCGCATCCTGCAGAGGAGGACCTCAAGCGGCTGCAGCAGGAGACCTCCGGTGGCAGCTACAGCCAGGTGGGCTTCCAGTACGATGGCCAGTCGTCAGCGGCCTCGAGCACAAGCAGCACAGCTCCACCAGCCCAGCTCTCGCCCAACTCCGAGGAGAGCGAGCTGCCCTTTGTCCTGCCGCGCACCCTGATGATGGCTCCTCCACTGGGCATGCAGCTGGTAAGTAACCACTAGATCCTCTCAAGAAATTTGTTAAATTAAATTATATTTTTTATTATTTCCTTCTTTTAGCCGGAGACAATGAAGCAGCACGCCATCATCGAGAAGACGGCTCGCTTTATTGCCACCCAAGGCGCCCAGATGGAGATTCTGATCAAGGCCAAGCAGGCCAACAATTCACAGTTTGACTTCCTTACCCAGGGTGGCTATCTGCAGCCCTACTATCGTCACCTCTTGGCTGCCATCAAGGCGGCCAAATTTGCGCCAGCTCCAGAGATTTCCATGGAACAGCAGCAGCAGCAGAATACCGAACAGCAGGAGGACTCCCAGTTGGGTGAGGATAGTGGTGGTGCTTTGGGCAAGAGGGGTAACACCAACCAGGTGGTCATCACGGTGCCCACCATCAAATACAAGCCCTCGGCCAATTGTGCATACACCCAGCTGATAAGCAAGATCAAGGGTGTGCCCCTCCAGGCGGTTCTGCTGGAGGATGAGAGCAGTAATCCCAGTAATGGCACTGCCTCGCCCACGCTAAGCTGCCGCTCAGAAGGTCACAGCCAGGGCGGGGAATTTACACCTGTGCTGCTGCAATACAATGGCAGTACGTTTACCCACCAGGAGGAGACGGCGGCGGCGGCGGAGGAGGTGCAGCAGCAGCAGCAGATTGAGGTGGCGAGTGAAGCAAATACTAGCGAGCCACCGCAGGTGGAGCTGCTTAAGAATACAAGTGCTTTGGCCTTGGCTCAGAATTACAGTTCCGAGAGCGAGGAGGAGGAGGAGGAGGGGGAAGAGGAGCAGCAAGAGCAGAAAAAGGAGCCTGTAAAGGTGGGTTGCAGCAGATTCATTGAGAAGTTTTTTTTTCCCACTAACTTGTTTATTTCCACAAAAGCCGGAGCCTGTACTTACCTTCCCGGTGCCGGAGGAGACTCTGCGTCACATCATTGACAAGACGGCCACGTATGTCATCAAGAATGGACGCCAGTTTGAAGAGACGCTGCGCACCAAAAGCGTGGAGCGATTTAGTTTTCTGCTGCCGGAGAATGAGTTTTATGCCTATTACCTGTACAAAGTGACGGGCGATGTGGATGCCGCCTCCAAGGAGGAGAAGACCCGCAAAGCAGCAGCCGTGGCAGCCGCTCTCATGTCCAAAAAGGGTTTGAGTTTTGGTGGATCAGCGGCTGGCAATGCTCTGGAAAAGGGTGTGTATAACGGGAGATCTCTTCTTACTTAAATAATATTATATCTTCCCCCTCCCCCGCAGCTCCTGTAAGTTTCTCTATACGCGCCCGGGATGAGAATGCCCCTTTGCAACCCATTCTTCCGCAGGAGGCCAGCGATGAGGAGGCCACTGGAGGCGAGCATGTGCGTCCCGGCATGCCCGACAGTGTCCAGCGAGCCATTAAGCAGGTGGAAACCCAGCTTTTGGCCAGAACTGCAAGCCAAAAGGCAGGCTCCTCGCCGCAAAAGGAGCAGCGACAAGGTGAGTTGAGAGAAATGATTTTTAAAACCAGGAAATATATGGTTTTTCATCTTTTAAAGCCGAGGAGCGCGTAAAGGACAAGCTGGCGCAGATAGCCAGGGAAAAGCTGAATGGAATGATATCGCGGGAAAAGCAGCTGCAGCTGGAGAGGAAGCGCAAGGCCATGGCTTTTCTCAATCAAATAAAAGGTAAGTTTACTCTAGGGTTGTGAAAAATATATAAAAAAAATATTGATTTTATATATATCTCTTTTTTTTTTAATCTGTTTCCAGGTGAAGTTACCTCTGTGGGCAGTGCTGTGCCCAGTGCCCCAGAGCTGGCGGCAGGAGCTTCTCCTTCTCGTGGTGCTGGCAACAGTGACAACGAGTCTAATGATTCAGTGCGCTCCATACCCATCACCTATTTTGGACCCGACGACGACGAAGACGACGATGATGATGATGATGACGAAGGGGATGGGGAACATATCCAAAAGCAACTTAACAAAGAAGCCCTAAAGCCTAACCCTGAGGATGAGGAGGACGATGACGATGATGGCGATGGCTTTGACTTGGAAAAGTACAATTTGCTGAATGACGATAGCACCAATACCTTTACCAGCAAACCCGTGCGTGCTCCCTCGGCTCCACCGCCTCCTGTTATAACACCCATGCAAGCAGCTGTCCTGCTCTCCGATGACGACGATGTCCAGCTGGTGTCCACCTCGGCAAGAATTTCCAGCTCGCGTCACCAACGCATGACGACCCACCGGCGCAGGAGCAGGAGTCGCAGTCGTAGCCGTTCCAGCAGTGCTTCCAGTCGTGAATTGTCCTCTTTGAGACGCAGGCCCAAGGGCCTCCCCAAGACCTCCAGGGAATCAATGATGCATCAGCATCAGCAACAGCAGCAGCAGCGGCGAAAGAGTCCCAAGAAGCGTAGAAGAAGCCGAAGCAGAAATAGATCTAGGTCCAGGTCTAGGAGCCTTCGAAGGAGCAGAAGTAGAAGCAGAAGCAGGAGCATATCAAGGCCCAGCCGGAGAAGCCGTTCAAGAAGCCACTCCAGCAGCCGCCGGCAGCGACGCCAGCGCACGCCACCACCCACCAAGAAGATTAGCAGCAAGCAGCGTCACAAGCGACGCCGACGCAGCGGCTCTGCCTGATCCAGCACCTGCCCCCAAAAATCTTATCATTGCTTCGCGTAGTGTTTTCCGACAGAGAATCGTGTAACAAATAAAGGCACCAACATATTTTTTTGTAAATCAGTGTGAAGTGAAGTTCCGCCGAGTGGTTCCCCCCGAGAGATAGTGGTGGGTATAAAACCCCCTTGACAGTGAGCTCATCAGTTTAGTTTGTTTTTAAGCTTGGACTTTGACAATGTCGCGCTATTTGCTATTCATTGGCTGTTGTTGTCTGGCAGCTGCTGTGTTGGCCACAGCTCAGATACCCATTAGTGAGTGTTGCTAGAAGTTCTTCTTCTCAGGAGGAACCTCATCTGGAATCCATCTCTTTCCCCTCTCCCAGCTCCCCGTGAGTGCGGTGTTAATGAAAAGTTCCTGCCTTGTGGCCCCAGCTGTCAAACGGAGTGTGCCACCCTGGGAGATCCCTGTCTAATTCGGCATATTCGCTGCCCCGATGGTTGCTACTGCAATGAAGGGTTCGCCAGGGATTCCACTGGCACCTGTATACCCATTGAAAAGTGCAAGAAGAAGAACAGGGGTTCGGGTTCCTACGGAAAGTGAAGTTAAAGGAAATTTTGGGGTTACAAAAATAAATTGAAGCTGATTTTTTGAAAGAAGTTTTGGTATTTTTTTAAAGCATTAAAAAATTTAAAATATATATTTATATAATATTAATTATTATATAGATTTAAATAATATATATATAAAATTATATATATATAATTATTAAAATTATACAAATATATTATTCAAATATTTTCATGCTGTGACCTAATTAGCATTATCAATGCTATAAAAAAATATATAAAATGTATATATTTATATAATGTGTTTTTTAATATATTTTTTAATACATTTTTAAATATATATATACAATAATATATATTTTTATAGCTTTAATAATGCTAATTGGGTCACAGCGTGACTTGAATAGAGCGCGACATCTGGTTTTTAGATAACAATCTTCATTTCTGGTTCTGTCCCAGCTGTTGTTTTAATTGTTTTTCTTTTTGTATTGTTATTATTGTTTTTTGAATTGTTTTTTTTTGTTTTGTATTGATGTGAATAACACAGGCCAACAAAATATGAAATATTGGACCCGGAACATATTTTTAAGAAGGTTTTCAATGGGCTAAAATTGGGAAACTGGGAAATTGAAGATAATATCATCTTAAAAAAGCAACAAATACTGAGTTTTTGGGTAGTTTTAAGGTGCTATAAATACAAATTTACGATTTATTTCTATTATTATTTATTATCTATAAGTTAGATTTTCAAAATATTTGAACTTACAAGTACATAAACAACGGGTTCTTGGTTAGTTTTAAGGTGTTGTGACTTCAATACATTTTATTTTTTTCTAAGCAATCGTTATGTTATCATAAATTACTGTTTTTGCACTTCAAAATCAGTTCTTAAAATTGGGAAAAATCTTCTTGGAACTTTGAGATATTGTTCTTTTGAATTTATATAAATATATTTTTTTTTTTCAATATTATTCTTATATTTGACATACCCAGAAATATATAGAAAAATATCAATTCAAGAGACAATATCTCTTAATAATTTTTTTCAAATTTTAAAAACAGATTTCTGAATTGAATAATGAATGTTTTGAAAAAATAAAATTACAGCACCTCAAAAGTACCCAAAAAACCCATATTTTTCTGTACTTTTAATTTTAAATATTTTAAAAACATCCAAAATACAAAAATTATATAAAATTTGCTGCCGAAAAAGTATTTTCCGCTTCTTGGTTCCAAAAATCTGTTGACCTGTGTAATCAAGTTTACCCAGATGTGCCTCCAAAATGATATCATAGGAATGGGGAAATACACGTGAATGGCTCGAACCACTCACTCACTATCTGTGATAAGTTTGGGTTATAGATTTGATTGTATTCTCAAAGAGTTTTGAGTCTTCCAAAAGCTTTTAGACAGGGCTTGAACTTTGGGTATGGAGTTAAGCTGGGTTCTGAAAAATGGGAGGAGGTACAGAAATAGGGTTGGATATTTAGATGAAGCTTGTATGGGAACAATAATGGGTTTGTGCTTATAAGAGATCATTATTATTATTTATAATTATTTATATTTATAATTTTTTATAATTATTTATAATTATTTATATTTATAATTATTTATATTTATAATTATTTATAATTATTTATTTTTATTTATTATTATTTATTATTTATATAATATTTAGATCGAATGATGGGAGAAATTCTAGCTAGAACCTTCCCAGTTTACCCAGTGTTGCAAGCCCACAAAATGTGTGTACGTTACTCATCTTACTTTAGGATTTAGTGACCCCTTCCAGTAAATAGAAATCTCCTTTCCCACACATGCATCTCCCCCTCTTTATGAGTGTTTGGAAACCAATTAAAAACCGAAACAGAAATAACAATAGATTTGAAACAAAAGCATAACAGGAACACGGAATCTCCTCCGGTTGGAAGAGATGCATGCTGGGCGCCCTTAACTGTGCGGCGCATCTATCGCATATCATCGAAATCAAAGGAGTCATCACCGGAATACAGCCAGGACATCCTTCTTGGGCGCTGGGCCTTCTGCTTGGCCTCGACGGCGGCACAGACCGCCCGGTAGGCGGACATCTTGGTCTTGTCAAAGTCCGCCTTGGCCTCGGCCAGCTGGCGATTGAGATTCTCGGCCCGAAACTTGGCCGCCTTCAAAATGTTGGTCTTCTCGACCAGCTCCTGTTGGGCTCCCTTGGCCACGCACTGCATGCTGGCCACATTTTTGGTTGCCTCGCGTATCAAATTCTTGACATGATTCAGTTCCGCCTGGAGCTCATGGGCAGCCCTGACGGCCAATTCGGCATTCTCCTGGGTGCAACGCATCGCTGCCGAGAGTCTGGCCACCTCGGCCTCGGCCTCGATCAGCTCCAGGCGAGCCTGCTCCAAAATCTCTTGCTTGCCTGCAAGCACAGCCTCGGCTCCTTTGGCGGACTCAATGGCCTTGCCGGCCAATTCGCATTTGGCCTGGAATGAGGCAGCCTCGGCGGCCGGCACTTGGGCATCGCTGGCCGCCTTGGCCTCCTGGGCCGCCTTCTGTGCAAATCCGGAGGCAGTCATCTTGCCCTCGCTGCGGTTCAGCGAGGCGATGCTGCACTTGGCACCAGTCTTACAGGATTTGGCTAGATCATCGTCGCCGCCATTGCAGCCGGCGCCATTTCCGTTTCCGTTTCCGTTTCCATTTACGTTTACGTTGCCATTACCACCGGCGATAGCCACTTCCTGGCTGGGATCGCCAGCCTCCGATAGACTTCTGTCTAAACGTTCGGAGTCTTCATAAAATTTGTTGTTTTCATCATCGTAAGCAGCCTGCCAGTCATTGGGCCTGGCGGAGCGATATCCTTCCAGGCCTCGCAGGACACACATCAGCATCAAAATGGTAAATATACATTTTAGGTGAGGCATTTTCAATAGAAAATATAGCCAGGAAACGACTTTGGGTATAGTTTTGAACAAATTTTAACGAAAGTTAGATAGATTTACTACTTTTATGAATGCGGCGGAATGAGATGTACGACTTGATTCGGGTTCAAATATGAACTGGAAGGGTTGTGCTAGGCCTGCTGGGTAGGTATAACTTTCTTGGGAAAATGATGGAAAAATCAAAGGGGGAAGTACAAGTGAAATAAGGGAGAGTTTTATAATAGAGATCCATTTATCCCAAAGAAGATCAAGAGATTTATTAGAGATCCATTAAATTGTGCGAAAAAATTCGAACCAAATTCTATAAATTTCCCGAAGAGAAACGAGAAATCCCTTAAAGATCCATCAATCTGAAAGTGTAGAGTCCCTACCAAAGGACAACCCTTTTTAAATTCTATAAATTTCAAAGGAAGATCAAGAAATCCTTTAAAAATCCATTACATTTTAGGTGTTACTATAACTTTAAGTAGGTAAAGTCTATGCTGAAGGAAAATTCTAACTAAATTCTCTAAATTCCAAAAGAGAAAAGAGAGATTCCTCAGAGATCCATAAACTGAATAGGTTATTATAACCTTTAGTGATAGAATCCTTGCTAAAGGAATAATTTAATTAGTATAAAAATATAATTATTATAATTCTATAAATTCTAAAAAAAAGAACTATAGTTCCTATAGAGATCTATCAAACTTAAAGGGTTATTATAAGAGTATATAGAGCTTACGCAAGAAAATACCCAAAAAAAACTATACTATATACATATATTCTTAATTCTAAATTTAAATAAATAAATACCAACTTGATCTTAAAAGTAAAACAAATTTAAAAAGAGTGTAAAGAAAGATCCCTTAAGTTGACCTTAGACATTGCCCAAGTTAGTAGTGGGCGAAAATCACCCCCCGAAAATGGGGGAAGGGAATGCCGCCTCTAAATCCCGTTACCTAAGCCGCGTAACAGAGCCCAGCGACCGATGACAACAAGCAGAATGTAAATGTAAATGTAAATGTAAATGTTTGCCGTCATCGAGTCGAAAATGTTGGCGGGCGCCCAAAACCAAACGTTAATAAACTCCCCACCAACAGGGGGAAGGGGCGGGCAAGGGGCGTGCTCGATTTACATGAGCAAACAGCGCCGAGCATGTGAGTCTACCTTTTGGCGTCCTTCTCCACCCAGTACCACCCTCCACCCTCTACCCTCCATGCGCTCTCTTTCGCTTTTTGCCGTGCAATTTCAGCGACCACGTGCGGCTGAAAAAAAGATTGGTGGAGCTCTAAAATGGCTAAAGGGCTCCAGACCCAGAAATGCCCTGTAATAAAAAATGCTTTACAAAATTTACAAAATTTGTAAAAATATTTAAGCATATTTTCTAGAGTTAAATTCTGAAATCATATTAAAAAAAAGGATTTTGAGGCTGGAAACAAAAGCAGTTCAGCTCAAAGGTTACCCCAAGAGTACAGGGTATGTACGAAAAGGGGTACAAAAAAAACAGTGGAGCTCTAAAATGTCTGCAGGAATACAGATCTAGAGATGTCCTATAATAAAATGTGCTTTACAAAATGTTTAAAAATATTTGTAAATATTTTCTAGGGCTTAAACTCTTAGAAATTAAATTTTAAAAAGGGATTTTTAAGTTTAAAAAGTAATTAAATTATAAAGTAAGCTATTAAGTGTTTTAGAAAATATTTAAGCATATTTTCTAGAGTTAAACTATTAGAAATTTAATTTTAAAAATAATTTTCAGGTTAGAAACAAAAGCAGTTCACCTAAAAGGTTACCCCAAAAGTACAGTATGTACGAAAAGGGGTAAAAAAAAAAAATAGTGGAGCTATAAAATGTCTGCAGGAATACAGATCTAGAGGTGTCCTATAATAAAATGTGCTTTACAAAATTTTTAAAAATATATTGTGTATATTTTCTAGAGTTTAAACTCCTAGATAATAATTTTTTTAAAGGGATTTTTAAGTTTGAAACAAAAGTAATTCATTTAAAATATTTAAAGGTCCAGACTTACAGATGCTTAATGCTATAAAAAATGTTTAAAAATATTTGTACATATTTTCTAGAGTTTAAACTCTTAGAAACTAAATTTTTTTAAAAGGATTATTACGCTTAAAAAGTAATAAAATAATCAAATATGCTATAAAGATTTTTAAAAAATAATTATGTATATTTTCTAAAGTTAATTAAATTTTAAAAATATTTTTCAGGTTAAAAACAAAAGCAGTTCGCCTAAAAGGTTACCCCAAGAGTACAGGGTATGCACAAAAAGGAGCAAGTTTTTTGGATTTGCAATGCAAACATCCATAAGAATGTGAGTGTGTGTGTGTGTTGGGGTTTTCCTCTCACCCCCGCCACCCCCGCCACCCCCTTTGTTTGTCAAAGAAACGGCGCTGAGAAATATTCCTCAAATTCATTGAATTTTTCCAAGGTAAAAAGGGGGTAAGGGCCGGTTGCATGCTGTGCGAACGCGGACCTGCGGAAATTCAAAAGGAATCAAAGTGAAGAGTTTGGTAAAAAATCATCGACACATGCCTGCCTGCCTGCCTGCCCGCCCACCCAGTGCCAGGATATATCGCCCAGCATCCCCAATAACGCTTTTGCGACTGTCAGTCAATCTCTTCGAATGCAAGGAGGAGCAGGCAGCCAGGACTCTCCCCCGGTGAAGTGAAGTGTGTGCGTGCGAAAAAAAAACAGAAAACAGAAATATAAAGGAACGAGTTGGGAGCCAAAAAAAAAAACCCAAGGAAATGCAAACAAACAAACAAAACCAACGAATAAACAAACAAACACCGAGGAGCAGCAGGAAAAGCAAACACACACACCGCACACACACACAGAGCTCGAATAATTTGACTTTATCTAAGCGCCAGTCAAGCAATTCGCATTACCAACAAAGGCAAAAGGGACTCAAAGGACTGCAGGCAGGACTAAATGGTGAAAAGGATACCCTCGTCGTCGTCTCAAGCATTGATTTATGTCGAAGATTTCGGGGGGATCCGATTGCCAAAGCGACTTTAAGCGGGATTCATCGAATCGAAGGTGGATTTTCTGGTAAGTTAATGATTAATCCCTGCTTTTTATGTTAGAAGATTTAAGGATTACATAATACAACTGGTGTACAAGTCTAGTTAAAAGTCTAGCCAGAATCAGAGGCTTGTTTTTTGATTTTTTATATTTTTTGGGAACATTATAATTTTAGTAAAATGCTCGAAACGCCTTGAAGGAGTCATTTCCGACCCTATAAATCATATATATTCTTGATCAGCATCAACAGGGGAATCTTTTTAGCAATGTCCAGAAGAAAACAATTTTTTAAAATTTTTTTCAAAATTTGTATAAGGGGTTACATCATTAAAATTCTAAAAAAATTGAAAAAAAAATTAATTTTTTAAATTGTCCAATTAAGTAAGCAGATTTGTTAAGCTAATAAAAACAAACTTAACACTGTTTACCATATTAAAATTATTGCATTTTTGGGAGAGTTATGATTTTTTTAGGTTTTGATTTGTCCCAAAAAATGTGTTCCCATTTTTTCAAAAAAATTTAAGGGGTTACATCGTTAAAATTGATAAAAATCGACCAAAATTAAGAAGTTAAATTAAGTATGCAGATTTGTTAAGATAATAACCACTAACATTACGCTGCTTTCCGAATTAAAATTAATGCGTTTTTAAGGGAGTTATGATTTTTTTCAACTAGACTTATCCCAAATATTTTTATCGTTAAAATCGGTAAAATTTGAAAAAATTTGAAATTTTAAAAATTTTAAAATTAAGTAAGCAGATTTATAAACCTATTAAAAACTAGCATAACACCGTTTTCCTATTGAAAATACATGCTTTTTTGATAAAGCTATAATTTTTTTAGTTTTTGATTTAACCCAAAAAATGTTATCAGTTTTTTCAAAATTTAAAAAATATTGATACATTTTTTAAAATGGTGATAAATTGGAAAAAATTAGAATTTAAAGAAATCTTTAAATTTAGCAGATTTGTAAACTTTATAAATACTTACATAACACCACTTTCCGAATTAAAATTAAGAGTTTTTCGACAGAGTTATGCATTTTTGAATGAATTTAAATTTTTGACTTAGTTATGGATTTTTGAAATATAAATATTTCACCAAAAATTATAAAAGAAATTGCACTGTTCATTTCTTCAAAATGTTATCGTTAAAATTAAACAAAAAAATCTATTAAAATAATTAAAAATATAATTAAAATTAAATAAAAAAAATCCCTAAATTATGTATGCAGATTTTTAAACTTTCTAAATGCATTTTTGCCTTAGTTATGATTTATTGATGGATTTACAATTCCAAAATATCCAAAACCAAGTGTCCAACTTTAAGGGTATTCAACAACCTTCGTCTTCCCAAAGTATCCCTCTCACTCGTTTATTTATTATTTTGTGAATTCTTAATGGCTAACCCATATCCCCCCCTGCCAGTGCCAGATCCCAGAGATCGGAGAGAGAGAGAGCCAGCCTCCTCCGAATGGCATTATGGGCTTTTTGGGTTGTCTTTTTCGGTTTGGTTTTTCAGTTGCTGCAACTGCAAAAAGTTTTGTTTGCGGTTTGTTTTTAGTTATTGCATTTCTTTGGCCCCATGGAGCGGCACTCAGTGCCCCGAGGCAGTGACCCGACTCCCCTGGCGGCAAATTTTGGGTGCATTTCTCATTTGTATTTGCGGTTTGCACTCGATTTAATTGTGCTCCTGGCAGCTGGCACAACGGGAGTTGAGTCCCAATGGTTTCCAGCGGGTTAAATGGTGGGTTAACTTGGTCAAAATGAATATGAAGTTGACTCTCTCTCTCTCTCTGGTTAAAGTTGGTTGTCAAGGCTCCACGAGGCGTATACTTAATTTGCAAATTGAGAGGATTGAGTCGCTGCAATTTGATTTCCACTGCAGGCTTGCAATTGGTTTCGACCTCTGGCTTCATTTTCTCCGGCTGATCGCTCATTAGTTTGCACGCCGGATTGGGTCTCATATTTCCGGGCATTCCTTTGAAATGGTTTCCCAAAAGGACGCTCTGGCCTCACATCATTTGTGGTTCCTCCTGGATAATTGCGAAACCAGAGATGCTTCCTGGTTCCCAGTGTCCTGTTTGTGTGTGAAATGTGAGATGTTTGCCCACGCCCATTTAAGGCTGAGAGGCCTCAATCTGCAATCTGCAATCTGCAATGTGCAATCTTCCCTCAGCTTTGCAATGAAATGAATTATTTGCTTTAAAGCGAGAGGAGGGGGGGAGTGCATTTATGAGTACATTGCGTATACGCCATGTGTGCCCAACAATAATATGCTCATCAGTCGCTGGGCCATAATCAACGTCATGGCAATTATCTGTTTGCCTAAATGCATTCCGGGCAAACATTCGAAAGCGGAAACGAAAGCGGAAAACCGGAAGCGATGCCAAAGCCATTGGCAAATGGCCTCCGCTGGGCTGTTGTGACTCCCACATTTTGCCTCAACTTTAGCAATTAGTAATTAGAAAATTGCAAAGAATTTGCCTTAAATTTAATAAGGAATAATACTAATTAATTTAAAATTATTTTTATATTTATTTAATAGTTTTAGGGATTTATTTAAAAATTTATATAAATGAATAAGGAATATAAAAAAATCATTTTCGTAAATTGAAATTATTAAGAGAGTTTTTTAATGTAAATTATTTAAAAAAAAATTTGAATAAATTTTATAATTAAAAAACAAAAGCAGGCTGGCGAAATAACATTAAAATAATTTAAATTAAATTTAATATTTTTATTAATACATTTTATTTATTAATAATAATCACAAATAATTAAATTACATTTTATTTATTAATTTAATTATCAATAATTTTTAAATAATTAAATTAATAAAGTTATTTAAAAATTATTGATAATTAAATTAAATAAAATAAAATAAATTAAATTATTTAAAAATGATTGTTAATAAAATTTATAAAAAAAATGTAATTTCACTATTAAAAATTATTATTATATAATTAAATTTATAATCTAACAATATAAAGTTACTTAATTACTTTAAAGAAAATATATAATAATATACATAATATTAAAAAATAAATAATATTTAATCAAATATAATTTAATAATTTTTAATAATTAATTTTATAAATTTAATTAAAATTATTCGGTTTTATTTAATCAATTAATTTTATTAATTATTTATGATTATTATTATTTGTATTACATTATTTATTATTAGTATTAGTATTATTAATTTAATTATTTATTATTATTATAAATTCATTTAATTTATAATCCAAACACAAAAAATTCCCCTGATTACTTTAAAGAAAATATAACCTAAATCAAGGCAAATTAATAAGAGAAACCGCAAGAAAACCAAACCAAACCCAACCTTGCGCTTTGCCAGCTTTCCAGCTAATTGCAGCCAACTAGTGCCATGGCCACGCCCCCCAACAGCCACCCCTTTCCCCCCTCTTGACACGCCCACACGCCCAAGAAGGCCAGCAATTAATTGCGCTCATTTTTTAGGAATCCCTGCCACGCGCTTCATTTCAATTTGCACCGGATACGCCAAGGCCCCCATTTTCCATTTCCCTTGCTTTTCTCGCTTTCTCGTCTTCTCTTTCTCTTTCCCTGTTAGCTGCAATTTTTGGTATTATTTTTAACCGAAAATTTGCACCCTATGCTGCCCCCTCCGAAGTTGTTTATTGCACTTGCAACTTCCGCAACAAACGAAGATAAATGGTTACTTTCTTGCTTGCGTTTTTGTTTCGGTCTGCGGCACGTCGGTGTTTTTCCCCCCAGCTTGTTGCCACTAGTTGTGTGCCCTTGATAGTGTGGGTGGTTTTTAAGTGAAAATATACACAAGTGGGGAATTAATTCATAAAAGTGGTCCCAAAAGTAGCTGGTAATTAGGGGGGAAATCGTTAGATAACTTGGGATAAGTTTTTGAGGGATTGAGGGAACTTTAATTGGAAATTTATTTTAAATTGAATTATTAATATTATAAGGTTAATAATTTTGTATATTATTTATTTGAGAAGAGAATTTATTTAGTGGGAAATTAATTTTAAAATGTGGTGGAAATCGGGGAGTAACTTGGGATTAAGGGAACTTAAATTGGGAAAATATTTTATTTAAAATTAATATAAATTATAGATTATACTTAATTATTAAATGTACTTATGAATTTTACTTGGAGATAAATAATATTATAATTAATTTATAAATTTCCAGAATGGAATGTACTTTACAAAAATCATTCTATAATTAATTATTAAATATATAATTTTTTAAAATTAAATTTAATTAAATCTGATCATTAGATTTAATTAAATTTAATTGCAAAAAATTATTCTATAATTAATTAATCAATTTATAAATTTTAATATACTTAAAATTTGATTATAAATTAGCTTCATCATTTACTAAATTATTTTTAATTATTAAATTTTAATATTTAATTTTCTGGGGAATAAATTATATTATAGTTATTTATTGTAGATTCCCTCAATCTATCAATTGTTCAATTAATACCTAATATTTAAATTAAATAATTAACCTGACATTTTCTTTACACTCTCGCCTGCCTTAATTAATTCTTTTCAATGACTTTGCACTAATTTTAAATGATTTTTTGAAGAGGAAAGTGATTAGAAAGCACGAACTTTGCGCACTAAAAACATTCAAAACAGATTGCATTTAGTATTAAGTTCGGAGTAGAATTCATAGGTCGACAGGGGTTTATGTATAAGAAGGTTATCGATCTCTCTCTTGGAATATATAGTAACCGTGAGATCGATTTCACGCACTTCTATATATAGTTTTGGAAATAGAGTAAATAATCAATCGCCTTAAATTCATCGTCGTTTCCCGGATTACATTCGCCGTAAGCCCCGAGTAATTATCAATAACCCAATTGAGATTGTCGGGCTTATCGCCCCCCGGCGGCAGCTGTTAACCTCCTACAGCCCACACCCAAACCCACACCTACATAGCAGTATATATACATATATATATATAGATATAGTATAGTATATATAGAGTAGCCACTGGCTTTAATTTCAGCCAGACTGGCCCGTAGACTTTGATTAACCACCGAATGTAGAGCAATTACAGGGCTTTAGAGTGTGTGTGTGTTTGTGTGCAGGTGCATTGGCACACACACTCGAAGAAAATACCAGTCGTCGTGTGTCATATTTTAATATAAAAAATTAAAAGCATTTTAATGCTAAACTGTACGTTTAAGTATAAAATTGCTGCTGCTGCAGTTGGTGTGATTTTCTACAAGTCAAAGGTTAGACTTGAGTTTATACAGTTATGGAATGTTTTAACCAACACTGAAAGAAAAGAGGTGGGACTTTAAAGGGGGAAAAGCAGAAAAAAGAATTTAAAAATTGTGATTTCTTATTATTAATCTATATTAAAAATAAACAAAGGGAACTATTTTTACATGTTTAAAGTAGTTTCTCCTTTAGATTTAAGCGGTTCTTTTCTTAGAACTATTTTCTCTCAGTGTTTTCCAAATAATATGAATAACCCGGTGGCTGTTTACCCCGCCGATTACCAAAATGCGGAGATTGCCGTCCCCCCTAATCTCGGCCAGTGACTTCTCCGCGCTCCGCCCATCGATAAGATAGCGTCGAACTCACTCGCTCGATCGCTCCGAGTCGGATTCTCCTGCTTTCCCCTAGCCAGTCGATGCCAGAATGCCGAGCCAGACGCAGCCTCTAAACCCCCAACAACCGCTACCGCTCCTCCTCCTGGTGGGACTAACCCTCCTCCTGGTCGGCCTGCAGACCTGCCGGGCCGTGGAGCTGCCCAACCTGGATGCCTCGATGCTGGAGAATGTGGACGTGGACCAGCTCAAGGCCAGCTATTTGCCAGAGGGCTTGCGCGGCGCTAACGTGACCCTGGAGGATCTGCATCGCCTGCTGGAGTCCAAGTGCAGGAGGGCCAACAAGCAGCCGGTGAATGCCACCGCCTTGAGCAAGGCCATCGAAACGGCGGGCGGCAAGCTGGTGGAGTGCCTCTCGGGACTGGCCAATTTGACGGAGATCCAGGCGGAGATTGCCGAGGCCAGTCCCAAGGGTGATCTGGATGTGGTCTTCGAGAAGTACTGCCTGCGCATGCCGCGGGCCAAGGCCTGCCTCAAGGACTTCAACGACGCCCTGCTGCCCTGCCTGAATAGCGAGGAGCGGGCCCACAATACGGTCCTCCAGCGGATCGCCGACCGGCTGCTGGAGTTCATCTGCTACAAGAATGGCGACCAGATTGCTCTCTTCATAGCCGAGCAGGGGCCAGAGTGCCTGGAGCAGAGCCGCGAGGGGATTGCCAACTGTTTGAATAGCACCTTTGGTGGCTACCTGCCCAAGCAGCTGACCGCCGACTGGACCAATGGCGAGGGTCTGCCCGAGTTGGTCCTTGGACCCCGCCAGTGCGTCGATCTGTACGACTTTGAGACCTGCACCGTCCAGCTGCTGGAGCGCTGCGAGGTGATCACGCCCAGCAATATTGTGGAGTCCATGTTCCGTTATGTGCGAAGGGAGTCCTCCTGCCAGGCGTCCATTGACAAGGCCATGGCGCAGCGCAGGACGGCCCTGCCCCTGGTGGCCGCCAAGGAAGGAGCCGCTGGACTGGCCACTAGTGCCTGGACCCTGGGAAGCCTGCTCCTCCTGGTCGGAGCTCTAGCCCGGCTCTAGGCTTTGGCTTTCTTTGTTTGTTTCTTTTCTTGTTTTTTTTTTTTTTTTATATTTTATAATTATGTTTAATAAACTTGGGCGGAGGCAAGGAGGAGTCTGCCACTGCGGGTCCACCCGGCATAAGCCGCTTAACGGATTCCCTTTTTAACTCTGCGACGGCGGCTGGAGCTCTCGGGCACCAAAGTGTTAAGCTGCATAAACACAAGCCTGAAATATGAGCGGAAGACGGGGTCAGCCGGGGCTACACTGGGAGAAAAAGGGGGGGAGAATAGCTCAACATTGAAATAATTATAAAATCAAATTATGAAAAGTAGTCTTTAGTTTTTACAAGAATATTAATTATAATAAATCAAAAGGCAAAATATTATTATGGTTTGGTTTTCATTATATTTTTTATAAGTTAATATAATAATTAATTTTCTATGACTTTTAATTATTACAAATATTAATTAAAATAAACTGAAAAACAAACTATTATAATTGTGGTTTTTTTCATATATTTATTTTTATTAGTTAAATAATATTAAGAATATTAATTAATTATTAAGAATATTAATAATAATAAACTTAAAGGTAAAATATTAAAATTATTTGGTGGCAAAAAATAATGAAAAATAATAAAATACATATAAAAAAAAAAAAAATTAATAAACTAAATATAAAAAAAAAAATAAAATTAATAAAATAAATAAAATAAATATAAAAAATAAATAAAATTAATAAAAATTAATATAAAAAAAAATAAAATTAATAAAAAAATAAATAATAAAAGAATACTACATTTAATGAAATTCAAATAAATTAAAGAAAGAAAATAAAATAAAATTAGGTTAAATACAAATAGTACTAATCTTATTTTATTTTCTTATAATACCCTTCTTTAACCATTCATTTCTCCCAGTGCAGTCGGACCATATTGCAGCCGCTTATCGGCCGGCAGCAGCTACAGAAGCTATACCTATATACACGGCGACTATACTATATAGTGTATATATAGCGTAGAGCGTAGAGCAACAGCATCCAAATGAAGGGTCAGTCGAACACTTTCCTTATCGCCGGGAAAACAAAAGGCACTGGGGGGAGCGGGAGAGGGAGAGGCAGAGAGAGCAGGAGAAAGAGCAAGAGCAATAGAGATAGAGCGAATCAGAGACAAAGGGAAAGCTGGGGGACAGTTGCAGCTTTTCAAAACTGTGAATTTTGAGCCAAAGTCGTGCCACCACCATACAGTGGGGCAACGAGATAAGCAAATTGATTTGCCACCCAAAAAGTCGCCGACAAATGCGGTCTCATTTCTCCCTTTCTCTCTTTCTCTCTTTCTCTCCTTCTCCGCCGCCCTTCCATCATTTCTATATTCTCTGTTCTCCCTGAACTGAGGGACAGCTTCGTCACCCTCGTAAATCATAAAAAAAGTGAAATAAAACAACAGTTTTTGGTGACCAAAAATTGACAGTTTTTGAAATACTCTTTATAAAATGTGGGATTGGTATTTGTTTTTGGAAGGATATGGGAACAAATTAGGGATAATATTAGGTTTATAATTATAATAAAAGATCATTTTTTAAATATATTTCAGGGTTAGGGAAATCTAAAAGAAATCTTCGGGGTTTTATGGGTTACAATAAACCTTTATAGTTAATAAAAGAAATTTAAATATATAAAAAATATATAAAAAACTTTAGAATTTAATATATATAATTTATTATATATATTTCATGTAAATATACAATATATATAATATTAAAACCCAAGAAACCCCCTAGAAAAATTAACCTTTTGAATAGATAAAATCCCCTTCACCCCATTGTCTAATATTCCACCTTCAAAATAAGGGTATTTCGTGGAACAACCATATAAATCTAACGGATATAAGCGGCAGATAAATGAAACCGCAACTGTCATCATTTCACAGACGAGTGCAGCTCCAGGGAGGAGTAGAAGGAGCAGCAGGAGGAGCAGGAGGAGTAGTAAGAGAAGCAGCAGTAGGAATAGCAGAAGGAGAAGCAGCAGAAGGAGCAGCAGGATGAGTAGAAGGATAAGCAGTAGGAGCAGCAGAAGGCATAGCACAAGGAAGACTCCTCTGGACAGCAAGGCGCTCATCCTTGGAGGTCGTGTCCTGCCTGCTTGGGAGGCCATTTCGGTGACAGACGAAGCGTGAAATGAATTGGACGGCATCTTAGCTGGCTCAGTTTCCAGTTTCCCAAAACCCAAAGCCAGAGAGAGAGAGAGAGCAAGTCCCAGGGAATCCAAAGAATAATCTCAGCCAGAAAGTGGAACCCCACCATTCAAGGAATTCCAATCAATAAAAACTGAAACCAACAAAAAAAAAAAAATGCTGCCACTTAACCCATAAACCCAAACTTCTTAACCCTCCCCTTCCAGTCCAAAGTCTTTGGCTAACAAGTCATAAATGTTGCAAACTTAATTAGGACTGCCTGCAGTCGCCAATTCCAAGTCCAAGTCCAAGTCCAAGTCCAGACCCGGCCCCAGTCCATTATTGATGTGAAAAATGCGGAAAATGAATGCGTTTCCGGTACTTTTCGCGAGTTGGCAGCTAAATTGCAGCGGCCATGAATCATTCGCTGCAGTTTCCTCTCGCCTCTCTTGCCTCTCCTTCCACTTTTCCAGCACTTTTCCCGCACTTTTCCTCATTCGGCTTTTCACATTCGGCAGCAGACAAACTTTGTACGTGCCACGCGATCGAAACAGAGGGGTTAACCCGGGGTGGCAGGCGGGCAGAGTGGGGTTAACTTGGCTGCCAAATAATTGCACGTCATTGGCACAAATTATTGTGATTGCGGGGAAGCCCCCAAGAAGTGAAAAAAATAACTAAAAAACGAAGTGAGCCAGTTGGAAAATTACTTTTTAGGGCAAAAAAAATTATATATATAGCCACTCAACCTGAATTGCCAGAAGTTTAATTGATTTTACAGCAAACTTTTCATTATTTAGAATTCTAATTTATTTTCCCACTCGCATTTGGTAATAAAGTGAAACGCTTTTCATACATTTTCCGCATCTGCAGATATTTTTCATATTTAAATTAATTGATTTGCAAAAGTTTTGCTTGTTCAGTGAGTGGAGAAAAGGTAGGAAAAATGGTAGAAAAAAGCTGCGTTTGTAACAAAAAACGATAGAAATTTAGCTTTACTTTCTACTGATGTTAGGTTTTAAATTAATAATAGTATTTTTAATATTTTAAATTATAATTTAATTACAAAAAATAAGAGATTTAGCTCTATTTTATACTTATTTGAGGTTTTATAGTAATAAATTAAATGTAAAATATTTTAAATTATATTTTAATTAAAAAAGGAAACTGTTATTTTCCCCCTTAATTTACCCTTTAATTACAAAAGGAAATTCCCACATTTTCCACCTTGAAATCACTTGATTCCTTGAACTTTCCCCCAAAAAAGAAGAATGCAAAGTTTTTAAGGGGAAGAAGTAGCTGCACTTGTGTCAAATTTAATTAAATATTTCAATTTTGGGGGCCCCTGTGGAAAATGCTGTCGCAGGCAGGGCAGTGCCGCAACTATCTCTAATTGTGCACGCATTTTCCGGGCAGGGAGTTTGCCACCTGAGGCGTCTGCGGCTGTTGGTGTCCCACGCTTCAACGCTCATTTGCAAATGTTTGTCTACGTGGGTGGAAAGCAATGGAAAGCAATGGAAAGCGATGGAAAGCGGTGTGAAAAGCGCACGAAGGGCCGGGGGTGGTGTATGACAGCATTAAAAGGGGGTTGCAAAAGGCGGACGCAGACAAGGACGCCCATGGGGAAATTGCAGCAAATGCAGGCGGGACTCTGTAGAATCTCTGAGCTGCCAGGAGGTTAAATTCACCTCCACCTCTCCCCCAGAAAGAGGCTACAGGAGACCCCATTGTTTTTGGGCTAATGAATGCGCAGATTCGACATGCGGAGAGAGAGCTCAATAACAACATGCCCGTCGTAATCGATAACCGGGAACATCATTTGGCCAAAAGGGATTGCCAGGTAAATCAAGGCGAGTGAGTGAGTCGTCAATTAGTGTTTGTCAGAAGCGATACATTAACCGGGGGCAAAGGGGTGCTCTACAAGGGGATTACTAAATAAAATTTAAAGATTATTGTGAGGTGTTTTGACAGTTATTGAAGTGATCGGTGAGCTATCGTTACATTTGGTGGCAAGCAAATTAATAATAAATAAAATAAAATATAGAAATAAAAATGCTTCTTTAAAAGTTTGAAAAATCAATTTATAATTCCTTGCTTATCGGTTATTAAAAGTATCGATAGAATTTATAAATTTATTTATTTATCGATTATATAAACGTTCAATATGGGATTAAAATAATATATATTATTAAAAAATATTATTATAATTATTTTGTTATTAATATGTTATTTGTTTGACCGTTTTAGCTCTCTTCTTAGCAAACTTCTTATTGTAATTATCGATAATTCATCCTTAAATCGATACCTGCTTGTGAGCTTACTCTAAAATAACCTTTCCCAAACTTGGCTTAATTATGGCAATGCCGGAAAATTAATCAATGAGGAAATCTATTGGTGAAAGATTTGCATATATGTATGTATGTGCTTCCCCCGAAACCCCCTCAAAATCTCTCACCTTTTCAACACACACACACACACGCACTTTCAACAGATTTGCCAAGGGGCTGTTTGTCCCCTGGAATTCCCTTTCTAGACTCACACACTTTAGCCCCCCTTTCAGAACTTTGTAACACTTCTCCAAGTGCGCTTTGTGTCTACACACATGGGTGTGTGTGTGTGTGTATGCTCGTTCGTGTTGGTTTTACGCATGAATGTTTGTGTGGCAGTGCGTGTGTGTGGGGGGGAATGGGGGGGAACCACAGGGGAGACCTCCGGGGAATATTTGGCATCCACAAAGTACGTATACTTTGGGGTCTAATTTGCGGTTGCTGGCGCAGCTCAATTTACAAGTGAGAAATTAAGATGTCGACGGAAACTTTGAGGGGGGTGACGCCGAAAAACACCTTGGGGAAAGGATAAAGGAGCTGTAAAACCGCAGAGTCTCAGCGCGCCACAAAGTCGCAAGTGTTAGTGGCATCGTAACCAATGCACTTCTCACTTGCTTTACCTGTTTTAACAGTTTTTCCTCATCGCCCAACCTCCT